TTTCATTCATTTTACCATTTTTTGCTCAATTCGTTGGATACTTCCCATCATCATATCAGTTTCTTGAATAAGATCTGCGAAATTCGATGAGACGAGTTTCACTCGACTGGGGCCGGAGAGACTGGGAGGTTATGAAGGATGTAAAATCGACTTTCTATAGATAAAGAACTCTGGGGCTTTGAATCTCTGCGTTGTGCACGCCTTTGTCAGTCCTAGCCTAAATAACTACTGTCATAACACTGGTGCAAGAGCTTGGGAGCAGAGACCTGTTTCTAGTTTAGTTTAATCCATGTTTTCTCTACAATGTGTAGTTGACGTATTCAGTATAATTAATATCCTACTCTTTCATACGTTTTCTCACAACTTGAGTAGGCTTAAGACCTTCGCAACGGCCCAGTTTCTTCCATCCAGTAGCATAAAACAGTACATGTATTGTCAACGACAGCAAGAAAGTGAGACGATTTTTGGAAACTACTTGATGTCCGATACTTCATGAGGAGTTTTCGGTCAGCACTTGCCGATCAGAAGGCAATGAACCGGCGAGACCGAAGATTTGTCGAAATTCGCCAACCAGTGCCTCGCTCAGGGACTGCAAAAATAAAGCATAAAATGCCGCATGCCTGGGAAATTCTGGATATCGAACATGGAGAGGTTTTGGGGAAAAAAAATTGAAAACATTTGCATGAGCGAGCTACGCAGTAGTCCAGAACTATTAGCAGAAGCCATTACTTCCTCAAAAGTCCACAAATATTCCCACGTATAATTATTTCTTGGACTTTCGATGGCTCAATATTTTTTCAAATTCCTACGCCAAATAATAATACTATCTACGAACTGCCACAGCAGAGCATGCCTTCAAATCGTAGATCATAACCGATCAGCACTTTTCAAAAAATGGCAATTAAAGGCTCAGAATGAATAAGCTTTTTCTGGACGTAAGAAACTCAACTAAACCCTTTGTAGTAAATGATGGAGATGGAGTTGGCTGACCTGAGTCAAGTCTCTTTTGCGGACGTAGAGAAACACTTCTACGAAGGCGATCAAAAGAGCCAGGAATATACTGATTCCTAGCGCCACAAAGATCCCACCTATTGAATTCATGAAAAATATTTTTTTTTAAACCTGATACGGTTGAAAACTTTAATCTAGTGGCATTGAATGCATTAATGAGCTAACCTAGATGAGGTAAGTCTAGTTGAGGCTGGTCGAACTGCTTAGTGGTGTCAGGGCACTTGGAGCGATCCTTCCAATATTTCATGTAAAGAGCTTGCAGGGCACCTTGTTCTTGGAGCTGCAAGATTCCTTTGTTCACCTTATCCGTCCAGTTCGAACCTTCGAGAAAAATGGTTAAAATTCGTTAGTTTTTAATGGCAAAAATGCGATTGGATGTTAGATTAAGGGGTTGAACGCTTTCTTGATGGTTTAATGAACTTGATGCAACCACTTCATACTACTAAAGGTTTCATCCGCAATGATTTATTCTGGAAAAAATACTACTCACAATAAGTTTAGCAACCAATTCTCCTGAATAAAAAGAAATAGCAAAAAACTTTGAAAATACCAAACCTTGTATTCCATGTATTCCATCTTTGCAGAATACAAATTTAAAGAAAGCTGTAGTTCGCAGGGAAAGTTGTCCCAACTTTCGTTTCTTTAGTAACGAGTAAGACCACATCCTGCTCGTGGGTATGCATCTGGAGATCCTCTGGGTTTGTCCCTGGAGAATGTTGGCTATTCCTGCCACAGAGGAGCTTCAAGTTGTTGGAAAGTCTGAAGAATCTGTGGGTGGCGGTCAAAGTGGTTGCCCACCAGCTCCCAATCATGCTGAAGAGACGCAAGTACGTGGAATTGGTTGGCCCGTTCATTTTACTTGATTGATTCTGCAGCAGGAATTAGTTGACCATCTGTGCCCAATAAGGTCTCGCATTATCATCTAGGATGGTGACCTATTCGCTAATATGGCAGGACAGGTGGGTGCAGTATTTCATCGCTCTAGCATCGCCCTGTTCGATTTCCATGGACAATCTGCAGAGAACACCTACCGATGACATTGACACCTTCCCACTCCTCTATTGTGCCTCCACTATATCGATCATGTTCCTGAACCGCAGCATTGGCAAACCTCTCGCCTTGGCGTCTGTACACACACATTTAAACGATGTTGAGAAACGAGATGCATCTGTGATCAGGATAAAACGCCATCACTCTTGATTCCATCGAGAGCTCTGAAGCAATCATGGGGACGTCAACAGTAAAATTGTGTGTGAGCATTCTCACGGCTGGATGGCGAACTAGCAGACCTGTAGCTTGGAGACTGTTTCTGACTGTCGTTGAACCCCTGTAGTTGTCTGCAGTTGATGCCGTTGCCTTAGGCATTTGAAAATCTAGACATTTCCATGTTGTGAATTTCAAAGTTCACCATTTAATTAGAATTGTTCAGCGGTGACGAACGTGTATCGGTTGGTACATGTCGATTTCCATTCAGCATCTTTTAACCCGTCGTAATCATTCCTAAAAAACAATACATTCATCAA